AAAAATAATTTACTGAATGAGAGGCATTCAGTAAATTATTTTTTAAAAAATAAATAAATGTTAAAATTATTTTAAAATTTGAGATGAATTACAATAATCCTATTTAGCTACAATGTGTTTTTAAGACCTCTGAAAGATTGATTTAAGACATTTTAAGGCTAATTAAGGCTTTATTTTTGGATTGATGAATTCAATGCCTTTTAATGCTTTTTAAGGATCTGCAGGAACCCTGATTATAGCTTGTTTGTCATTTATTCATTCATCCCGTGTTACAATGATGAGTCACTGCTGAGATTTAAAGCCATCCCTCTAATACACTCAAAACTGAAACACAAGTCACCTGTACTGGTTGGAGAGTTGATCTCATGACGGATGCTTCTCCCTGATAGGCTGGTGGACCTGCCAATCTCCCTCTGGGGCTCCAAAATATCCCGGTACTTGGACACCATCAGGACCGAGATGAAGTAGACGACCGCCAGCGCCAGAAACTGAGCCTGCTTACTGTCGTCCTGCAGCACAACAACAAAAGTTCATTTAAACATGTGTACTGTTTTTCCCCTTGTTTATAACCACATTTACTTGGTTTTTAACATGAAAACAGAAGCTCACCACGTCTCTGAACACCACAGCTCGGAGACGATTGATGTCCACGTCCTGTAGGAGCCTGTCCGGATCCTGCTGATTATAGTGGAYACACAACGGTGTTCACACGTCTTTACGGGCCTGCGTGATGCCACCGCTGTTGTAGGATTTGCATTTAATTTGTGTTTAGTACCTTGCTGGTGGTGGAGACACTGTGGAGGCTGTCCTGGGATTTGCTGCTGGTTAAAGATGACTTGCAACTTCGATCTCTCTGTCTCTGCCTGCACTCCAGGCAGTTCCTGACCGCCACACAGCACACTGACAGAGAGAAGACACGTAAGTATCATGTAAAAACTGAGGATTTCCTGACCGACTGGCAATCCTAACACGTTTTAACTGGAGTCTGTGTTTTTCTTTATCTGCACAATTATGCAAAAATTACCCAATTTTATGAAATTTAACGACAAAACAACCCTTTTGTTTGTCTTTAAAAAAGTGTTTGTAAAAAGATCAGCCTAACACTTCAAATTTTTCTACGTACAAATATGTGTGCAAACAAGTGCAWAAGAGCATTTATGTTAAATTAATGAGAAATTAGGAATCCAGAATCTGAAATTAGGAATGATGAATCCTTTACTCAAGCCCATCTGCAGATTTTGAGTACAATTGAAAATATCCAAGAAGTTTTAAACAATATGCAAAAGGACTTAAAAAAAGTTTTGTCTGCTTTTAGTTTTTACACTAAACGTTTAAATATCAACTCCTTCTTAAAATTACTTAAAAGTCTATTTTTAATG